GGCTACGCTATCCGCTCACTGGACCCCCCCAGGCCCGCTACGCAACTGAGTGAGCGAGATCCACGACCTCAAGGCCCGAGCCGAGCCTGGACAACGCCTTCACCAAGACGGCCATCGCCGACGCCTGGATCAGCATGTCGGCGTAGAAGCGTAGGACCTGACACGGCGGCGACCCCTCCTTGGCACGGCTGGGACTAGACCCCACGGAACGCACTACCATTCCGAGGCACAATAGCCTTCCGCCCGGCCGCCTGTGCTAGGGTGAGTCCGATACCTGCTTCCTCCGGGAAAAAGACCAACCGGCATCGCTTGAAAACGATGGGTGGACGGACCCGCCAATGCAATAGCCGTCCTCTCTTACCCGCATCGTCGTGGTCAAGGCTCGTTACGACCCCGCACCAAGAGCTATAATGTGCCCGCCGCACGCGTTGCTGAGGGATTAATGACCCCAGAACGAGGTCATCCGGCTGCACCTCAAACGATACTTGTAGACCCGAGATGGTCTATACTAGACTTTTCCAGAACTCTTCAGGCCCGCAATATAGTCACCAGCGGCGCAGCTGACCATCTATGCAGAGCATCATTATCGCTGCGCACCAGTTAGTCGCGGACCTTTTCGACTAGAACTGCCATGAACGTCGACAGCCCCAAAAACGCCGGTACGAGCACGCCTATTAGACTCGGGTACATTCTCTCCGACCCCCTTTACAACCTGGTGTCGGCGAAGTCCTCGCCGCACCACTGGCAGCGCAGCGTACGTTATTACGCTAGGAAGCCTGGACTACTCGAACGCCGACCATTGCCATCGCCCGACTATGGACAGTTGCGAAACCAGCAGACCGGTTGGTGGAACAGCTCGCGCCCGTATGGGCCGGATTAGCCGCCACACCTCGCCCAGATCAGTCGCCTGAGCATCACGCCGCCTCCTGGTGGCCTGCCGCCACGAAGGCCTCTACGTATGCAATCATGCAGGCGTTGCACATCGGGGACGGCAGCTCGCCGTCGCCCGGCGTTTTGGTGTCCCGTTGCCAGGCGATTTCGTCCATGGCAGTACGGTGGCCGCACGGCAGGACCGTCTTTGCGGTTGCGCAGGACACGTTCGTAGCGGCCCGCGGGCGTTACGATGGCGATAGCGTCGGTGGGGATCATCATGGCGATGTTCGCCTCCTCACGCCGCTCGGCGAGTCGGGCAACCGTGGTGTCTTTGTCCCACCTTTGCTATTTCCCGCCCGCGCGCAGCTTCCTCCCTTCCGGTGTCTCGTTCGCTCCGGCTGAGAGAACAGCGGACCGCTCGCACATCCGCTGCACAACACACCGGTGGAACGCCAGCGAGTCTCGAAGACTCGGGCTCGCCGTAGAGCTCGTCGATGTACTCGTGGTTGAGGTTTTGGGGGAGGGCGTGCAGCGCCCGGTGGATCAACCGCAGGTCAGCGTCGACCTTCTCCTGGTGAGCCTCACGTTCTTCGCGTTCGTGTTTCATCCACCAGGCGGTCCACTTCTGGAACTGTTCTGGATGCAGCTGCGTGGGATCGTCAACACACTCGAAGTGCAGGACCTCCACCCGCCAGCCGCGGCGGTCGATGGTGATGGCGTTGTCGTACCGGTTGCCCTCGATCGGCAACTCACAATTGGTGCAGTCCATCCGGTAAACTCCCTGTAGGTCCAATTCGGACCTGCTTTTGCTGTTGCCGCCGGTTGGTTTGAACCCCTTGCCGGCGGCGATATAGTTCTTAGATCAGTCTCAGCAGATTTGGCCGTTGCTATCCGCGGCGACCAGGATCGGCCCCTCGGATATCTGGCGGATGTGCCCGCAGTGGCCGCAGACCAGGTACACCAGCAGCGTCTCGTCGTTCACGTAGACGTAGAGGCGTCGCACCGAAGCGGCCAGCATGTGCCCGACGTGCTCGTCGTTCACGTAGGTGATCAGCTTGGCGCCGTCCGCTTTCTCGAGCTCGCACCGGTCGCAGATTTCGTTGTCCTCGTAACCCTCGGGTGGTTGGACCTCCATCTTTACTCGGTCGGTGGCCGTGAACGGACCCAGGTCGAACTGTGGCATGTGGGAGACTCCTTTTGGTCCTATAGGATCATGTTTCTCTTTTCGCCGTCGGACTTGGTGTGATTCGTCCGGCGGCGGTTTGCGTTCGGATTCATACTCTGCGGAGGTTGACCCGGCGACCCCACGGCGCGTGGAGGCCGCCGGCAACGACCGGGTGTGGAGGCGGCCGTTGTCTGCTGGTTGGCCGCAGTCGCCCGGTCCATTGAAATTCACGCCCCGATGCGGAACTGCTTCGTTCCGCAGTCGGTGCAGGTGCCTGTGCCGGGGCGACCGTTTTTCATGGTCACACGCTCGACGGAGCCGTCGGCGTTGTCGGTCTTCTCCTTGCACTTGACGCAATAGATCTGTGGCGTGTCGTCGGTAGTTGTCGTCATCCGTGATACCTCCAGTTGTCAGTCGTATCGTCCTTTGGACGCCTGTCCGGCCGTTTCCCTGGCGCGCTCCGCCGGCAGTTCGGCAATCAGAGCCGTGTGGTCGGGGGACCGATGGAAATGGGCGCAATGACGACACCTCGGTTTTTCGCGTCTTTCGTCACTACGCTGTCACAGACTCTATACTCTGGACTTTTTCGCTTACTGTACACACGGTGGCAGGGCCCGGAGACATGAGCAAAGTCGTCATACGTGCGGTCTCCGAGACCAGCAGTCCCGGACCTTCGGCGGGTCCGCTGGTCGCCAGCTGCATCGCCCGGACGCCGGATCCCCTTCTGCCAACCGCGGCCGAAATCCACGGTCCACTGCACCATCGGGTGGTGATGGCAGTGCATCTCGGCCATGACCAGGGGTTGCATCCACACCGGTTCACCGGCGGGATGATGCTCAACCGTGGGCGGCGCCTTGGCGAACACCGGCGGGTCGAACGCGCAGTTGTAGTCGGCCCAGTCCGTGCGGCCTCGATCGCGAACGGACAGTTCCCGCAGTTGGCCATGCCGGAAGCCGTCTTCCGTGCCGTCATCGATCCAGAGCGTCATCGGCACCTCCCGTCTTCGCTCGGTCGTCTCCGTCGGCAGGAACATATCCAGGCGGCATGGCCACCGCGTATCCGAGATCGGCCGGAGCAACCGCAGAACCACCGCCTTCAGGCCAAATCCCCGACCAGGCGTAGCCAGTAGGCGCCAGCGCCGCGGTTTCGCATCCATCGGCGAAAGTCGGAATATCCAGGTGGTCGATCACGATGCCGCCGTCCTCAATGTCGTCCTCGGTGTACTGGGCCAGTACATTGACGCCCGCGCAGTGGCGGCACCGGGATAGGTTCACGCTCAGCATTTCGTTACCTCGAGGCTCCTGCCCCTTTGGCGGCCTCACGTTGCCGCGCGCGATGCATGAACAACCGCACGCGGCCGTTGTCGTAGACGCAGGGCTCCAGTCGGCCTGCGCCACACGTCCTGCAGGCCACGCCGGCCCGCGCCAACTGAGCGCGCGGGGTGTGAGGCAACACCGCGCGTTTCGAGTACAGGGTGGTGCAGCTCTCGCCCGGTTTGGCCAGGCAGCGAGGACACTGGACGTCGAGGGGGTTCATGTTCACCATCCTCTCCGGCCACAGTGGGGACAGGGTTCCTTGACGGCCCGCTGCCATGGCCTCCTGGTCGGGGCGGTGATCCACTTCTTGCAGCTGGTACATTGGCTCTCGTAGCGCACGACGGCGCCACCGCCCACGTTCCGCCTGATGTTGGGTATGGCTTTGGTTGCCATCGAGTCCACCACCTACCTGGCGCCGATCGCGGCAGGTCTCTTGTCTCTGTGGGCCTGCTGTTAGGCTCTCAGGATATCCACCGGCGTTTGGTATTCCATACCCGGCCGGATGAACACCCCCGCCTGGCGGGAATAGACCCAGGTGCAGTGGCCCGAGTCGCCGACGCAGTAGTAAATTTCGTCGCCGGTCCGTTCCGCGGCACGCAGCAGGGCAGGAAACTTCGTTCGCCGGCGCAGCAACGCTTCGGGATGGTTCGCGCACTGGTCGGGATCCTGGGGCTTCGGTTCGGTTGCTGGATCTACCGGTTGTTCGTCCGGCGGCACGCCGGCGACGTCGGGCATGGCCCGGTATACAATGCGGGAGTTCCTGTCCAGGGTCTTGGCCAGCGCTTCCTCAGCCATCTCCAAATGCAGCGGCAGCGTCCAGCCAGGTAAGGCAAGGAACTGGCGGCGGCCACCACCAGGTCGCCGTCTTTCCATTCGTAGCCCACACAGGGGCGCAGAAAGGTGTTGAAGTGCTCCCGCGGCATCTCCAGCTGCAGGCTGGCCGCAGTCGTTTACGGCCCGCCACACGGGTAACGAGTGAAGTCGGGGCATGGTCATACTCCTTTGGCCGCAGCTCAGGCGGCACGCTGTTGGTGTCCGTAGTAACGGCGAGCCCACTTCCGCGGGCGGTACTGCTTTTCGTAGTAGGCGGCGGCCAACTCGTGATGCGGATAGCTTCTGCCAGGGGAAGAGTGGCGCCCAGTCCTGGAGGCAATCCAGGAACAGCAGGCCGTCTTGCACCAGAAGACTCGGTCGCCCTTGTGAAACCAGAAGGGGTGTTGGCCAGGGTGACAGCACGTGGCTGCTCGCCCGGCCCGGCCCGGGTCGTTAACCCCGTATTGAACATCAAGGTCACCACCATGAATCCCCCCGGGCCCCGTGCCCGAGACGGTTTCAAGCTTAGCCACGCCGTTATTAATCACTCCGGCTGATTTTTTTGTCCTGTTCGACTTTCGGGATGGTCGTCATCCGTTTTTACTACAGATAGGCGTGTGATTTTTTGGTGTCTGTTGCGACATTTCCAGATACGTTGTCATGCGCTGTTACGACAGTCCGGGGTGGGCTCTTTAATTCGTAAGACTCCACGGTCCCGTGTTGGTCCACCCTCTATCCGCCGCCGCAAACCTTCATGACCGTACTCTGGACCTACTACTGCCCGTTGTACGGTCCTTAGGTCAACTTGGAGATGTTCAGCGATGCCGGACTGGTCAATAACCTCCGGCATGGATCCATTGTTGGTCACCGCATCGCTGATGTACCGGAAAACCGACCGGGAGCTCCCACGACAGGGCAGGTCCGATACGTCGAATAACGGCCGAGGCGGCATTGGTAATGAGGGCGTGCCGTTGGTGGCGATCCAGACCGGCGAGTCGTTCCCTGGCGATCGCGCAGTACCGGGCGCTCTGTTCGATGCCGATGTAGGACCGGCCCTCGAGCACCGCAGCAACCGCCGTGGTGCCGCTGCCCGTGAACGGGTCCAAGACGACCTTCGCCGAGGTAGCGCGTATCGCCCGCCGGGGCAGGTCCACCGGGAAAGTCGGGATCTCGGGTATCCAGGAATGTTGCTCCTGGTGGATCCTCCACACGCTTCCGTCGGTGTGGCCGTTCAGCAGCCGGAACCCAGGCTTGGTGATGAGGTAGACCACCTCATAGTCAGGCAGGAAGTAGTGCCGGTTAAAATTGGTTCCCCCAGAGCGGTGCCAGATGATCACCTGCCGCAGCGGAAAGTCCTGCAGGATGTCGTCGTTGCGGACGATCAGGCCATTCTGGACCCGATGCATGTGGTTGTAGAAGATGGCGCCGTCCGGCTTCAACACCCGGAGCATCTGGGAAAGGCACAAGCGCTGCCACTCGACGTACGCGTGGCGGGGCATGTCGTCGCTGTGCCCGTCGTAGCCGTCCCAGCAACGGGAGCCGTTGCCCGTGCTGTTCAGCAGGTTATAGGGCGGGGACGCAACGACCAGGTCGACCGATGCGTCGGGCAACTCCGGCAGCAACTCCAGGATGTCGCCTTGGTGAATGGCGTTGAGCCAGGGTGTTATGTCCGCGTTGGTCAAAATCTAAAATCCTCGCTAAATCGATATTAGCGAGGATTTTAGACCAGTGCAATCAGTATGTCAACACGCTATCAGTTTATTTCGCCTTTTTAGGCCTCCCTCCCTTGACCTTCCGGTTTGCAATATGGCTCTGCAGAGCCCTTTCATCCACTGCTATGTAACCGCCGCCTTGAGCTGGAGCTTTCCGCAAACCCTTCTTGTGAAGGTGCCCCCTATTGACCCAATTCCTAATGGTGCTGACCGCGATACCGTACTTCCGGCTCGCACTGGGCAAATCAATTAGGCCGAGCGGTAATTCGTCGTAGATAACGACCCCTTCGTCCTCGGAGGGCTGTTCAGCGCCAAGGGCCTCGGCCAGCAACGTGGCCGCGTCGTCCAAATCAACGACGTCCGAAATGCGTTCCGCAACCATATCTGCAATCGCTTCGGCGTCCGCGCCGGCTTCCATCGCCGGCTTGATGACGCCGATCAGATCCTGTTTAGTCAGTGAGCTTTTGCCCAATTTTACCATAGCGGTTTGTCGGACGGACCGGGGTTGTTGCTGGAGGCGGTTGCGGTTGTTGGCGGGCGATTCAGTGGGATTTGGACCGGTTTAGTAGGATTTGGCCGGACTGCAGCCGTCTCAGGGCGCACGGCGGGAATGACGGCGGGCGGCAAGCTTAGGCTTGCATCACACGCTCACCGCCCCGACGCAAAGGTAACCCGCTGCGTGAAGCATTCGGCCCGAGACCCTAGCCGATCAGGTACAACCGCTGCTAGAATCTCCTCGATTTCCTCCTTGACCCGGGACGGAATCGCCGGCTGGCGAGTTCACACTCGCTACGGCCGATCGTTTTTCAACTGGTGCCGAGGGAGGGGATCGAACCCACACACCTCTAGGAGGTAGCGGATTTTAAGTCCGCCGCGTCTACCATTTCGCCACCTCGGCACAGGGTTAAAATGAAACGCGCCACGCCCTCGTTTGTCGGTGCGCCGCGCGGTGTACATTACGCATCAGTTGGGTTTGACTGGCCAATGCCAGCGACGAATCATTGGCTGTTGGTTGGTTCATCGGGCTGTCGAATTGGAGGCGACGGGCGGATTCGAACCGCCGAATAGAGGTTTTGCAGACCTCCGCCTTAACCACTTGGCTACGTCGCCTTATATCTGCTCGATTGACACCCTATGGATTCTAACGTTGAACCCCGGCCAAGTTGCGGGTGGCCGGCTGGTGCCGAGGGCGGGACTTGAACCCACACGAGCGAAAGCCCACGGCCCCCTCAAGACCGCGTGTCTACCAATTCCACCACCTCGGCGTTGGGGCAACGATGGGAGTATATCATAGCGACGAAAGCGTCTGTCAAACCAGCCAGAGGCCCGGACAACAACTGCACCGCCCGAATCGCCGCCGATCCAAACTACCCCGTGTCCGCCCTATTTGAGGACCAAGCCACACCGTTTCAGCCACATCCAACTCATCGTGGAGAGTCGGGATGCTACGGGTCCATACAGGATGACGCCGACCGGGTTACCCCGGTCGGCTGCTGTGCAGGTTCGGGGTTTAGTTTACCTGATGCTCTCGATGCAGCAGTTCCTTGGCGATATCGCCAATATTGGCCTCGATGCAATCGCGCAGAGCCGAGTAGATAGAACGCTTCACGGCGTCCATCATCCATGCCTCGTACTCTGGAGCGGTCTGGTATTCGTTTTTTACCACAATCAGCTGTCGCAGAGTCTCGAGGTAGTGAGTCTGCAACGGGGTGAACAACTCCGGGTCGTAGCCCTCGAATTCGGGGCCGGCCTGCTGTTCCACGCCAATCGGTGCGGTGCTCACTACGGGGTTGTCAGTTTCCAACCCAGTCGTTTCGGTATCATCTCTTTGTGATGCGCTCATTGCACTTCTCCCAGTGTCCGGCGGGATGATCGCCCGCGCCAGATGTTGAGGTCAAGGCCATTATAGCACTTCCGCCAGCAATTAACACGGTTGCCGCGATAGTTTACGAAGGATTTACGTCCGCGCAACATCTCGTCAACCAACCAACGATCGGTCGGACTGGATTCGTCGTGATGCCGCAGTTTCTTTACTATATTGATACGCTGGCCGACATCCGATGGATTCGTCGCCGGCCACCGTGCTTGTACCCGGTTCGCCCGTTTTGCGATGCGGACCAACGGTAACGGCTACACCTCGCGAAATTCACCTTCAATGGTGTCGTCTGTGTCGGATGCTCCGTCGCCGGCGCCGCCAGCGTCTCCGGGCCCACCAGCGTCTCCGGGCCCGCCGGCCCCCGGTTGCGAATAAACCGCCTGACCGACTCGTTGCAAGGCCTCGTTCAACTCGTTCATCGCAGTCTGCATCTGCGCTACGTTATTGCTCGCGATGGCAGTCTGCAGCGCCTCCAGCTTGCCTTCGGCCTCCGCTTTTCAAATCTGCCGGCAATGCTTCGGCGTTATCGGTAAGCAACCGCTGCGTCGAGTAGACCAGGCTGTCCGCCTGGTTGCGCGTTTCGATTTCGGCGCGGCGCTGGCGGTCGGACTCCTCGTTGGCTTGCGCCTCCGACATCATCAGGGCAATGTCTTCGTCGGTAAGACCGCTGCTGGTCTGGATGACGATGCGCTGCTCCTTGCCGGTGCCCTTGTCCTGGGCCGAAACGCTCAGGATACCGTTGGAGTCGATGTCGAAAGTAACGTCAATCTGGGGCATTCCACGGGGAGCTGGCAGTATGCCATCGAGCATGAACCGCCCAATGGTCTTGTTGTCGGCAGACATGGGGCGCTCGCCCTGCAGGACGTGGATGTCTACGCTGGCCTGCGAATCAGCGGCGGTGGTGAACGTCTCGGTCTTTTTGGTGGGGATGGTCGTATTGCGCGGGATGAGCGCAGTGGTAACACCGCCCAGCGTCTCGATGCCCAGGGTCAGCGGCGTTACGTCCAGTAGCACGATGTCGCCAACTTCGCCGGCCAGCACGCCGGCCTGGATGGCGGCGCCCAAGGCCACGGCTTCGTCCGGGTTGACCGAACGGGAGGGCTCCCGGGCAAAAATTTGCTGTACTTTGGCCTGCACGGACGGCATACGGGTCATACCACCGACCAGAATCACATCGTCGATGCTAGCGGAACCGACGCCGGCATCTGAGATGGCCTGCCGACACGGGCCCTCGGTGCGGTCAATCAGGCCACCAACCAGTTGCTCCAGGCGGGCACGGGTCAACGGCTTGACCAGATGCTGTGGCCCGCTGGCGTCGGCGGTGATGAACGGCAGGTTGATCTCGGTTTCCAGCGTGCTGGACAGCTCGATCTTGGCTCGTTCCGCCGCGTCGCGCAGCCGTTGCAAAGCCATGCGGTCCTGCGTCAGATCGATACCGGTTTCGGCACGGAACTCGGCGACGAGCCAGTCCAGGATCGTGTCGTCGAAATCGTCGCCACCCAGGAAAGTATCGCCGTTGGTCGACAGCACCTCAAACACACCATCGCCCAACTGCAGGATGGTAATGTCGAATGTGCCGCCGCCCAGGTCGAAAACCGCGACGGTGGAATCGGTCTGTTGCTTGTCGATGCCATAGGCCAGCGATGACGCGGTTGGTTCGTTGATTATCCGCAGCACGTCCAGCCCGGCGATGGTGCCGGCGTCCTTGGTGGCCTGCCGCTGGGAATCATTGAAATAGGCGGGAACCGTAATCACGGCCTGGGTAATGGTCTCGCCCAGTTTGGCTTTCGGCGTCCTGCCGGATTTTTTGCAGCACCATGCTCGAAATTTGCGGAGGAGCGTAGGATTGGCCCGACATCTCCACATGGGCGTCTCCATTTTCTCCGGCAACGATTTTGTACGGCAGGCGCTTGGCGGCATTCTGAACGTCCGGGTCTTCAAATCGTCGGCCCATCAAACGCTTCACGGAGAAGATGGTGTTTTCCGGGTTGGTAACGGCCTGCCGTTTGGCGATTTGCCCGACGTACCGCTCGCCACTCCGGACGTTTACCGCCACCACCGATGGGGTGATGCGGTTGCCTTCCGCGTTTTCGACTACTTCTGCCTCGCCAACCTCAATAACCGCAGCTACCGAGTTTGTAGTGCCGAGATCGATGCCCAGGATTTTTGCCATTGCTGTTACTCCTCAAGTCCGAATTTATTTTTCGAGTTAGGTCTGCGCCGGTGTCAAGTTAGCGGATGCGCTTACGCTAGCGGTAATTCGTCGCCACCCGGGCCCGGTGCTTTGTTTCTAAATCTTACTGGTTGACCACTACCTGGGCCGCCTGAACCACCCGGTTGTGCAGGCGGTAACCCTGCCGCAGTACCTCAACCACACAACCGGAGTCGGCGGCGCTCACCTGTGCGATGCCGACGGCTTCGTGCAACTCCGGGTTGAATGGCTCACCCAGCGATTCGATGCGAGTAACCCCCTCAGACTCCAGGAACGCCGCCAGTTTGCGCTGGATCAGGCGTACGCCCTCAGACCATGAATCGGCCACCCCTCCGTCGGCATTTTCGGCAACGGCGCTGTTCAGATGATTCACCGCCAGGTCGAGCTCATCGACGATGGGCAGCAAATGCACCAGCAATCGGCTGTTGGATTGTTCCCGGATGTTCAGGCGTTCCTCGTCGTGTCGCCGGCGCAGGTTTGCCAGGTCGGCCAAACCGCGCTGTACGGCGTCGGCCTGCCGCGCGATTGCCTCGTTGGCTTCAGACAGCGCCGCCCGCAGCATCAATGCCTCCTCTTCGGGAGACATCGGCGGTTGGTCATTAATTCGGTCATCGGCCGTGTTCGTGTTCTCATCGTCGAAACGCGGAGCCGGGATACTATCGGCGTCGGCGGCGTGGTCTGATGGGTTCGCATCACCGACCGGGTGGTCGTGCTCGTTAGTCATTTACGTTTCCTGATTACGTTTGCTGATTGAATGTCTAAATTAGGCCATGCGGTGGATTCCAACAGCCAGCGCCGTGCGGCGCCGGGGAAATCCACCGCCGTCACTGCCGCAACCACTACTCGGGAGCCGGCAAACTGAGGCTGCCGCATAGCAAGGCCACTTCCTCGCGGATACGGTCGACGACTTCGGCATCGGTGGTGGAGCGGGCGAGTCTGCGCGAGAATACTTCAAGGTTGTTCACCAGGTTGAGCGCAAACTCCACGCCGGCAAGGTTGAGTCCCAGGTGGTCCATCAGGTGGCGAATCAACATCACCTTGCGCAGGTCTTCCCGGGAGTAGAGTCGTAGCATACCAACCGTGCGCACCGGCTGAATGAGTCCCAACCGCTCGTATTTGCGGAGCGTTTGCGGGTGCATTTCCAGCAACCGCGCCGCCACCGAAATGATGTACACCCCTTCCATTTCCGCACCGGAACCGCTACGCCGCACGGCGCCATTGCTGCCAGAAGCGTTTTCGGGTTTCTCCGGCAGGTTCTGTGTCAAATCGGCGTCCCAGTGCTCGGGCGCTTGGGCACTCGGCGCCGGGTAAGGTTCCAAAACGGGCCTGGGAAATTGAGGCACTCGTGGCCACCGCCGTTGCATAATCCTGTTTCTCCCCGGGACGGGCCAGTCGGCCGTACTCCTGCCGGTGTATCTTACAGCATCAGGGAATACTGTCCCGTGATTTATATCACATTGTTGTAGTTAGCATAATACGAGTTGACACGGATAATGTCAAGGTGTATTATCCAACCGATGGAAACAGCCCCTTGGCAAATGCTCTTAAATATTCACGAAACGATTGTAAATCCGGCGAGCGATTACGCGCGTATACCACCATGAACGAGGCTTTTTCGGCGTCATATCCCTCACCGCAAATTCGTAATCTTACAATTCGTAATCTTACAAGGAGGCCATCATGAAGCTAAAATTCAAAGCCTGCCCCAAATGCCGCGGCGACCTGGAGCTGCGACGGGATATCTACGGCATCTTTGTCAGCTGCCTCCAGTGTGGCTTGCAGCGAGATCTGGACGCGCCAGTGGAAGCGATTGACGTCAACTGGATCAACTCGCCGAACACCGGAGCGGCCATCGGACAGGAGGAGTTGCTGCAAGTGGCCTAAACTGCAACCAAAACTGTGGGATGATTGCGGCCGCCGGGTTTTTCACCCGGCGGCCGATTCATTTGCCTGGCGCTGAGGAGCGGTTTACTTGGTCAGTTCGGGCCAAAAACGCTCTTCCCGCCACGGGTCAGCGTTGTTGTTGTAACCACGCTGTTCCCAAAACCCCGGAGCATCTTCCGCCAGCAGTTCGATGCCGTTCACCCACTTGGCAGATTTCCAGCCGTATCGGCTGGGAATCACCAGGCGCACGGGCCAGCCATTGTCCTTGCCAATCTCGTCGCCGTTCTGCCGATGAGCCAACAATCCTTCAGACAAGGCCAAATCGAGGGCAAGTTGGTCGTGTAGTCGCCATAGCAATGAGCCATGATGTGGCGCGCTTCCGACCGAACTCCCGCCTGCTCCAGCAACTGCGACACCGCTACCCCTTCCCACGTCTGGTCAAGGGCCGACCATTGGGTAACGCAGTGAAAATCGGCATCCACCGTTACCCACGGCAAATCGCAGAACTGCCGCCAGTCCAGCGTGATCTCGCGTTCCACCAACCCAAAGACGCGAATGCTCCACGTGGACAGGTCGACCGCCGGTGTTTCTCCATATGTGAGCACGGGGAAAGTCTTGGCCACAAACTGCCCTGGTGGGACTCGCTCGCCCCGGGGCGGGGCCGTTTTTACCTGGTCGGGTCGTTTCAGACCAAACTCGGGTTGGGTGGCGAGTGATTGCTGTTGTTGCTGGTCAGGTGTCGTCATTGGGACGCTCCGTTGGCGTGGATGCAGGGCTGGGGACCGCAGGGCCGGGGACGGCAGGGCCGGTAACCGCGATGAACCGGTCAGGGGTTAGCGATGATGGTTCCGGCCGGGCCGTGGGTGATGCGACCAACGACAGCGGACGACTGGGCGCCCTCGGCGCGAAGGGCGTCGATGAGATCCTGTTGCTTTTCAGCCGGCACCGATATTAGCAGCCCGCCCGATGTTTGGGCATCGCACAGCAGCAGTTTATCTTCTTCCGTCAACCCGTCGCCCCACGTCACAACGTCCGCAACGCTGCTCACGTTGCGATGCGTGCCGCCGGGCGCTATGCCGTTGTCCAGCAGTTGACGCACGCCGGCAGCACCGGAACCCCCGCCAGGGTGATCTCGGCGGCCACGCCGCTGCCGCGCACCATGCTCTTCAGGTGGCCCAGCAGCCCAAAGCCGGTGATGTCGGTGGCCGAATTGACCCCGACCTTCATCATGGCTTCGGCAGCCGGCCGGTTCAGCGCCGCCATCGTTTCAACCGCGCGCGCCATCACGTCCGGATCGGCTACGCCCTGTTTGCCGGCGGTGGTGATGATTCCGGTGCCGATGGGTTTGCTCAAGATCAGCACGTCGCCAGGTTTGGCGGCGGCGTTACTGACCTGCTTGCCCGGCTCGACAATGCCTATGACCGACAACCCGTATTTCGGTTCCGGGTCATCCACCGTGTGCCCCCCCACTATGAGGCACTCGGCCTCGGCTGCCTTGGCGTAACCGCCCTGCAAAATGCGGCCCAGAATTGCCATGTCCAGCGACGCCGGGAATCCCACGACATTCAGCGCGATCAGGGGCTTGCCACCCATCGCGTACACGTCGGACAGGGAATTGGCGGCGGCGATGGCGCCATATTCGTAGGGGTCATCCGTGATTGGCGGGAAGAAATCTACCGTAACGATAAGCGCAGTTTCATCGTTGATGCGATACACAGCCGCATCATCGCCTGTTTCGGCGCCCACCAGCAGGTCGGGGTGCTTCAACAGGGGAACATAACTCAGGGACCTGACCCAGGTCTCAAGGCTAGCTTGGCCGCTCAACCCGCGCAGTGGGAAAGTTCGGTCAGGCGGATGGGGGATTTGGCTTCAACCATTAATGCCTCGGTGGGGAGAGAGGTTAACTTCGAGATGGACTGTAAGCACACCCTACAGTTGGTATTCCGGACGCCTCAGCAGTTGCCGGGCTATTACCAGCCGCATGATTTCGTTGGTGCCCCTCGCCGATTATCATCAGGGGAGCGTCGCGGTAGTAGCGTTCCCACGGGGAAATCTTTGGTGTAGCCGTAGCCGCCGTGGATGCGCATGGCCTCCATGGCGACACCTCGCCGCACACTTCGCTGGCGAACAGCTTGGCCCATACCAGATTCCAGGTCAATTCGGTCGCCGCTGTCCTTCTTGGCGGCGGCATCGTAGACCAGCAGGCGCGAAGCCTGAATCTTGGTGGCCATGTCGGCGATTTTCAGCTGGATCGCCTGGTGCTGACTGATGGGCTGGCCGAACGTCTCCCGTTGCTGGATGTAGCGCATTGAAGCATCCAGCGCGGCCTGAGCCACGCCCACGGCGCGCGCGCGCAACGTTGATGCGCCGCCGTCTCCAGCTCCGCTCATCACCTGCCGCACGCACGTGAAAACTTTTCCTCCTCGCCGCCGATCAGGTTCTCGGCCGGGACGCGGAAGTCTTCAAGAACAGCTCGCAGGTTTCGGGACCTCGGTAGCCGAGTTTTTTGCAAGGTGGCGGCCCACCTTGAAACCGGGGTCGCCGTTCTTTTCGATGACGAAGGCCGACAACCCCAGGTGCTTGATGGACGGGTCGGGGTCGGTGCGTGCCATGCAGGCAGCAGGCGTCGCCGGATTTCTGCATTGGTGATTAAACATCTTGGAGCCGTTGATGACGTACCTCTTCGCCATCTTTCACAGGCGCGGGTTTCCATGCCCCCCACATCGCTTGCGCCGGCGGGTTCGTGAGGGGCCAGTCCGCCACGGATTTCGCGGTGGCCAGGCGGGGCAGAAGAAACTGGTTGCGCTGCTCTTGGGTACGTAATTAGCCAGCACGTAGGCCAGGATATGGTGGGTGCCCAGGGTGCCGGTCAAGGCCAGTAACCTTGCTGATTCTTCGAAAAATCATGGCGAGAGGTCGTGTAGTCCAGGCCATCCGCCGTATTCTCCGGTATCGTGATGCCGAAACAGACCAGTTCATCATTGTGTCGATGAGGTCGTAGGGCACCGTATCTTCGCGTCGTGCTTGGCTGGCCACGGGTTCCACGATACGCGACGCACGAATATCTGCACCATGCT